TAAAGTCCTGTGGAGGGAATCATGTTCGAGGAACGTCCACTTACGGTCTTTTTTCGTCGGATTCTCACAGGTGACCAGGCATGACATCTCGTCTTGAAAGAGGTTTTCACTTTCTCCTGTACAACCATCGTACCAAAACGGTATACATCGCTGAAAAGGGAACATTGATAACCTCGTTTGGCTTACGCCGTGCTTCTATCAAGGCTTAGCTTATGGATTCAGTGAACGACTTTGTTTCAAGCGATCCCTTTCTTGAAGGGCCTGAGACAATGACATAAATAGAGTTCATCTTGATATTATTGATGAAACAAATGGGTAATGACCAAAAAGATGCCGCGGTAATCGAAGCCGTACACAGTAATGAGAAATCAGTTTGAGGCGCTATCGCAATATATGGGGGCATCTTCTGGGACCAAGCATAGGAGGAGCAGGAGCTCCGAGGAAAAATGAAAATGGCTCACGCACTTGGAGTCTCTCCTCCCCCGCCTAAGGCTTAGTCCCGTTTCTAACAAAACATTTTTACGCGGTTTTGAATGCATTGACACCATGATGCCCCCGTATAATTCGGTAGCGCCCAGTTTTACAGATATAAAGAAAAAAGCGTCTGCCCAATTTCCTTTCAAAATTCGCCGAATTGACATCCATTTACAATTGTGGTAATTTTAAATATACAATGACAAATGAGAAACGACTAAAGTCAAGCCCATCTGTTGCGCCATTTTTTTACTACGGAGAACATAGAATTCATTAACCGATAACTTTTGTTTTGGAATGTGCCATGCATTCCACATCCATCCAAAATCCTAGTGGCATTTGATTGCGATTGTCCCAAACATAGACTGTATTGTGAGGGATAGCCCATATACAAGTGAGTGGTCTCATTCCTCGACAGATAAGTCTGGTGCCAGTGGACTGATCGGTAGGGATGGAATTCTAGGTTGGCTGAACGGTGTCTGATACGGGATTCGATCTCCGGACCGATCATGTGTGTAATCAAAGATCTGTATAGTATGATCTCGAAGATCTCCATCTCGATTATTGTAATTATATTTAAAGATTGTGTAGGTTGCGAATATGGATTATCTGGGACACTGCCTTGTGGCTCCACTCACATTCACTGAGTATGCAAGTGGGGGGGGGGCAAAGGCTAGAATAAGCCATTTTGCTTATGGCAACTTCAGCAAACTTTTCGAGCTTTGATGAAGTTCTCGCTGCAAAGAACTATTGAGGTGAATCTCTATAGGCCTTACTCAATTCAAAAAATCCGATAGATATCTTAAAATTAAGTAGCAACTTTCACTTGCCTTGACATTCTTGTCAAAGTAGTACTGCTGACGCCATCGGCCGCCATTACACTGATCCTTGTAGTGTTCGTCGAAGTCCTGTAGACAAGCTCCTGAATAAACCCGCAATAAATAGGTGCAGAAGAACGAATTATCATAGTGACTCAGGTCCTACTGCGTGCTGATATCAATGGCTAGACTAGGGAAGAAAATTTGTTTGGAATTTGGCAGCTACATATGCCCTTGAGCGAAGCCAACCAATCTGAATGAATCCTAAACTGAAAAAAGCAGCGGTTTTTTCGTCTGAAATGTCTTCCTTTTAATGAAAATCTTGAGGGGCCCTCAGAA